TTTTTGCATTGATATCAATACAAATATGGGATTTCATAAAGGAACTATGAGCAGGACGTACAGACATGATCGAGAAAGCCAAAAGGTTTTTTTAAAAAGTATAAAAACTAAATGAATTAAAGAGTGGAAAGCAAACAGGCAATCAGAAGAGTCACTTTTTGTAATGTTTAGATGTTTTTAAGAATGAGGTTTTTGAATTTGTGGAATTTCACTGGCATTGGTATGGAATACTACATTTATAATCACGATGACATCCCTAATTACAACCTCCTCCTGGACTGGAGGAGGGCCGACCCTCATCTGCACGCAGCCCAGAAATCCAAGACGGATTTCAAGTGTCTTTAATCTCATCTGGATTTTATCCGGGTACCAAACACCTGCAATGCCAAGTGTACGTGGGGCCTAAGTGGAAAATCTTCACACACAATTAACTTCAAAAGCATAAAAACCTTTTAATTAAATACTTAATATCTCACGCATCTCAGGCGTTCCAGTATTGCCACGTTAATCATCACAGCAGGCCAGCTCTTACTGAACTCATTCTGTGTCACTTAGAAATTCACAGCACAGACACAGGAAACGTGGTAAGAAGGATGACGTGATGAGAGTCAAGGAAAGCCACAGAGTGCCAACAATCCCCTTCCTCAAATACTGTGGCAGCATACTGTGGGTGGTGAGAGCAAACAGATGAGACATGTTGCACAGAGTGTCAGAGGTTTGCAGTGTGAGCCGTCCTGTGGTGCAGGACCAGAGCCACGTCAAACCCAGCCTGTTGCTGGAGGCTGGATTCTTATTGCAGCTTTTCTAGGATGTCACCGAGTCTGAAATGTACTGCAAAGGAATATATATTGAACGGGGTCTTCGCTTTGCAACTGCAAGCAAAAAAAAAAAAAACCTCAGATCAGATTTCTCAACTGTGAAGTTCCTGAGAGGTAGTTGTGACGTCAACAAAACCACTATGAACACAATAGCTGCACACAGAGTCAGCTGAAAGGCAGAACAACAAGGTGTCATGAGGCTGACAAAATGAGTCACCAAGTGTTGATAAGAAGAGAGCAGGTTTGGGGTTTTCTTTTGTCGTTTCAGCATTTGGTTTAAACATGCCTTAAAGTTGTCCATTATGGTTGCAGCGCTCTCTCACTGTTAGCTTTGCTTATATAAATGGACCCATCCCTTTTGGCATACACAGCTGGAACCGTTTCAGTTTACAGTGGTATCGCAGGCCAAGTATCTGTTACATAAGTGCCTGTCCTGTTTGATCCTGTAGTAGACGACTGAGGCAGTTGTATCACCAAACTACACCACATGCTCAGACTGTTCATAATACGCAGGGATTTTACAATTCTGCAAAGTGTCTTTATCAATTAATATTAAGAATATTAAGATTATTAATATAAATGAGAGGTAGGGCCGTATAAATAGTCTGGCACATAACCTGACATTTTTACAGGTTAAACAACCTAATTGTGTTTTACTTTACATTTTCTTTCAGTTTTTTTGTATCTTTTTTTTTTGTTTTGTTTCATATGAATTTAAAACAAATCCCTCCTAGACAATTTAAATAAACACAAAAATGTATTTAGTCTGGCACAAAATAATAGCATATGTGTGCAAAGTGTTGATAAGAAGAGAGCAGGTTTTGGGTTTTCTTTTGTTTGGCTGCAAACAACAAAGATGGCGTTTTAAATGACAAGAACTTTGCCAATAAAAAAGGCTGCCGTTTTTCATTTTTATTCAGGCGTCGTTCAATGCCAGTTTATTTTTACCTCCTTGGTGCTGCAGTCAGATTTTGAGGGCAGACACCCAGCTCTGACAGGGGGCAGTGCCAGTGTGTGAACGCAGCCTCAGCCACCATCAAAAGCCAGAGAATCCATACTGAGCCAAAACAAGCTGATGCCACCAAATAGAAACTCAACGCTGTGTTTGTTTTTTCTACACACTGCTGGGAAAATCCAGTTCAGGGAGTTTGTGCGGTGACAAACACTGCAACCAAGCTTCTGTGGCTTGTTTCAACATGAACCAAACATGCAAACCATCCACCATGTAACAGGAAGTAGAGCTCGACTTACTGCTTTATGCACACTTTAAGGACTGAGTGACAAACCTCTCAAAGATTGCAAACTATTCCAGCAGTGGTGAACATCTGACAGTCCAGCACATTGAGTACAAGGCTTCACACCAAGAGCTGACCTCATCTCCTCCTTACGCCAACAGCAAACAGCCTCTCGGCCCTTTACGAGCCCAATCCACCGCAGGCTGCTCACACACTGTGTGGGAGCGTTAATGTGGCACACTTTACAATTCTTTGCAATATCTTCCTTTATTAGCATTTAACCTTGCTCTGTTATGGCTGGTTACCAATGTTACGTCACACGAGTCGGCAGCCACTCAAGAGAGGAGGGAGGGAAGTGAATATGTAAGCAGCTGGCAGCTCTCACCGTCAGTGTGACCTGTTGATTGCACTAACAAGAGTGGATGTGACTAATGCGTGAAACACAATGGGTTTAAAGGAAGACTCTGAGGGTCCGCTTGTGTGCCGTCTTACCCACAGAACGAGAGTCAATTCATGTCTTTACACAGGTTTAGGCAGGAAGCTGAATATCAGCAGTGTGGTGCAGCGTTCATCCGAGCAGACCACCTGCTATTGTACTGCTCTTCAAACCCCCGGGTTCACCACATCTTAAAACAGCTCATTTTTAGACCTTCCATTTTCCACAATGTGTTTCCTTAAGGCAGGAAACATGGCGAGTGTGAAGCTTGGATCTAAAACAATACAAATCAACCAGAAACACTGCCTGCAGAACAGGTTCAGGGCGAAGGCTGGTCTTCACGACATCAGGAAGCCCATCCAGCTCAAACACTTCCTTTCATCATTTATGGGAACTGAAGTATGAGCGTGTACCAACCACCTCCGCTGACATGAAAAAAAAAAAGGGATTTTGTAGTTTATGATATAAAACATTAACCATCGGAGTGTAAAAGCAGTTTCTACAAAAGAACGCCTTAAAACGGTCCAATACACTGCCTTCAGCCCTCTATAGCACAACAGTGTCGTGATGTTTTATTCACCACGGACATTAAACTTCCCCTATTCCCTATTCAATAGCAGTAATACACGTAATAGTATGTAAAACAAAACATATGTTGGTAAATTGTTCAAATCAGACACGCTGAATATCAATTCTATTACACTATCATTGATCAGGTTGTGACAGCCAGACTGGGGCATTATTCTCTCTGGTTGATTAGATATCAGCGATGAAGTGATGAGTCCACAGCCGGTAAAAAACGCTTCCTGAATTAACAATGTCTCGTCTCCATTGTTGCTCAGATGACTAAGTCTTAAGCCTAGAAATGTGATCAGCTGTTCTCAGCCACTGTTGCCAAGAGCTGTGGACCTCCAATATGGCCACCAGAGGATGCATTACAATGAAGGTGGCAGAACACAACGTCAGGGAGTGATTAATACATCCACTTATTATAATCAGATTGGGCAAGAACGTTTCCATATTTAAGTTTTCCATTATCCGTGTTTTCCCCACGTTTGTACCTCTAATGGGTCTTGAACTTCCCGCGCCCAACCATTAATGATAACCCTGCTAGTGGCCGAGCTAAATCCACTCTGTGTAGTGAATAATGTTTAATCAGCACATTTAATGTACTCAACCTTTACTTCCAAGGAGAGGCAACACATCCAATCAATTACTACCAAAACTGCACAGTCAATAGGCCGCAGCCCGTGGCACTTTGTAGATGAAGGGCAGTAATATATGAACATGTCCCCTCAGGCACTAAACAAGCAGCAGGATTTATTAACCATTTTCATGTCAACGCTGGTTCCCACTAGGCCATGGAGCCTCACTGGATCATATCAGGACCCCAAACTAAATACAGACAGCTTCACTCCTTTATGATCGTGGTTACTTTCAGAAGGGACTCAGATTATTGTGAAATAAAACCCTGTGAGGAGCCAGTGCTGCAGCCAGCTAGCCTCCTGATTAATCACTTCTTAGGAACAGAGGAGGAAACTGAGCGGGCCTGTTGTGTTTGAAGGTGGCTGTTCAGCAGCAGTGAGTAATTTACATGTCATTTAACCCTCCAGGAACCATAAAGTCAGCGATTCTGTTCCCGGATTACTGCTTATCCCGGGTTATAAAGGCAGACAGTAAACTCAATTATGAGCTAGTTGTGTTAGCTCACTGGCTATAAAGGGTTGAGCGACACTGCAGCCGTCAGTTTCCACTCTTACCGTCAACACGGTTTATTTAGACCTTCATTTTAAACTGCGACAGTCAAAAATGTTCCCCAAGTCGAGCACATTGTACAAACACGTCGTTTACTGTGAATGAATTCACTGGAAGTCTTGTTACTGCTAACTGGCTGCTCAGCTACACAGACTGCTAGCGGAGTAGCTAACGTGGCTAACACTAAACAGTGAACAGCTGACTGACTATGAGCTCGTTTCAGACTCGCACAAAGCTGTCGGGCTGGCTCTCTTCAGCTTCGTGTACCGGGCTGAGGTAAAGAGAGACAACCGGGAACACGGCAGCAACTTTCTCTGACTGTAACTCACCCAGATAGATGTCTCCGAACGATCCACTTCCAATTTTCCTGCCCAGTCTATATCGGTTCCCCACTCTCAACTCCATGATAGGCAATCTGTGGTCGGCCAGCAAGCGCGCTCGCTAGCTCCAAAATATCCAACAAATGTTCAGGTTGAAAGTCCAAGAGTGGTTAAAAGCAGAACAGGCCAGATATCCGACACATTAAAGCCTCTGCGAGCGGTGGATTGTGTCTTCTGTGTGTCGTCTCCGGATGAAGTCAGCTCTCGCAAATCTTTCGCCACTTGTTTTAAAATAGCACTAACCTCATATTGCGGCAATACGGAGCTTGTTAGAAAGGTTAAAGTGTGTACTTTATGCTCTCGCTGTTTTTGACGAAGATCCGCTTAAGTTGTCCACGGATGAAGACGGATTTTGAGGAAGGTTGTGTTGCGGACTGCGCTCGGATCCTGTCCCTGTTGCTGTCTCCCTCTGTTAGGATCCTGTTCAGTGATCCGCTGGATGTGTCTGACATCACTTCCCTGCTGGGCGGTGAGGGAGGACACCGACAGAGAGCCTCTGAGTGGAGAGCTGCCAACAGATACCACTATCGGTAACAGGCAGGGTGCAGGCAGCCTTTGTACGGCTGGTAATTATTAACTGTAATGTGGATTTAAAAGTAACAATAGGCGACTGTTTGCATTAGCATTGATTTGATAGGATTATGGCCCCTGTCCCTCTTTGTAGTTGATTGAATCATTCATTCAGATGGCTCTTAAAGGGCTCCTCTTCATGATCTGTTACCCTACATTTGCACACTTCTACTAAGGGACAGTAGGAAAATGATTGGGGGTGGGGGCTGAATATTTATACTTCATTTTATTTTAAAAAAGCAAGAGCCTCCCTGTTATCTGGATTCACAAGATCGCCACGAGATCTCATGAAAATCCATCTTTGCCAGGTTTCAGGGTATGCACAGTGGTTCGGACCATCGACGTGTGGATGGACGTTGCTTCTCTTCTTCCTCCCGCTGTTCAAAAATGAAGCCAAAATGTCCCCGGTACGGCTGCTGCCATTTTTCACCATTTGGAGCCAGAGCCGCGGTATCGAGATCTCACCCATACGCCATCAGAGGCAGGGCAGCTTTTTACAAAAAAACAACAACATTACATTTTAGTTTGGCCCATGTTTAATCTGCTAACATGGAGGCAACAGGCAATGTGAGCTGTACCACAGTCAGCCACCAGGGGGCGATGTTTTGGCTTCACTTTTATCTTTATATAATGTCGATGATTCAGACCAGGAACTATTTTTAGTGAGACGCATCAAGAAGCAACTGTTCATTTGAAAACAACAAGGGCGGTCACTAAAGAGGTTAGCGTAGATGCTGCTAGCATCAGTTATATCAGGGTATTCATTAATCGCAGAGTAAAGAACAGCACCAAAGGCTTTTCTAGATAGGAAAATGTTTTTACTCTTCTCCTGACTGGCTTACTGGTGTGTTGGTCTGATTGGTTGAAGTTACCCTATGATAGTGACAGATGGTTCATCCAATCATCTACCAATGATTTTTTGAAAGTGTCTGCCCTTTTCCAAACTTTTTGTTTTATGTGTAACAATAGATTACCCTCTCTGTGACACTGAAAATGCAGTGCCCTCAGTTTGCAAACTGTGAACAGGCTCCAACTCTGTGGCTGCTCCCACCCAGTGTAGGGGGGATACCTCTGATCAATGTGAATGACTTGTGATCTCCATGTGATCTCCCATGTCATGGGGGTTGTAGAAGCAGCACCTCAGACAGTGATCTAGAAACAGGATACCCTCCCCCTTTAATAAAAATCAAACAAAGTGGTCAAGGGGGAACTCAGATCCCATCTAAGATAAGATAAGATGTACCTTTATTAATCCCCTGTAGGAGAAATTCAAATTAGACACAGCAGCATAAGGGAATGTAGTGCAAGAGTACAGAAGTGGAAGTACAATAAGATATCACAAAATAAGAATATTACAAAATATAATACAAAATATAAGACTATAAATGAATGAAAAGTATATACATTATATGCAATATGCAAGTAAAGTATCTAGAGGTGAAGTCGTACATTGCAGACATTTCACTACAGCTCAGCCTGACAAGCATGTAGGGGAAAGTACGGTGGTGAAAAATATGAAAGGCAGTGTTTGGTTTGTCTGCTCTGGGCTACTGCAGAAAGATGGAGGCGCAAAATGGCGGACCCGCCACGGTGCAGGCGTATCCACTCCCTCTGTAGATAAAAAAATATTTTTATTTTAAAGTAACAAAAACACAATTGTTATTGAAAATCATGTATAATAATAACATTATATTCCATTTCTGCCAATGGATCTTCCTAAATATTACACACTAGACCTTTAACTAAACAGCTTTTAGCGATTTGAAACTGCAGGTCATTGTCATGATTAACCTTTAAATGTCAACTGCTTTCATCACTAGCACTTTAGTGACGCCTATACTTGAAGTGAAACTTAAAAACTGGTCAGTGCTTTAACAACTGTATTTTGACCTCTTTATATTGTTTCAAAAGCTTCAAACATTAATATTTTAGACATTTGAGGAATTTTAATTGTTTGCAGAGCAGCTGTCCAGCTGAAGCAGGCACCCGTACATTTTCTTCAGGAAATAACCTTTATTCTAAATATTTATTCTTCCTGGGGATTTTAACAGGCTATTGCTCACAGTCCTTGGGGGTGTATAAATCTATTTATTTTCATTTCAGCCTTGTATTCTACCATATGTTTTATATGATATTATTCAAATGACAACATTTAAACCTCATCTAAATCTAAACTTCTAGAGTGTCTGCTAAGTTGTAAACGTAAAGAAAGTCTTGTCAAGTCAAAAGTGTTAAAGTTCAATTTACTTGTTTTGTTCCAGTTGAACATATCACCCATACAGCACTGCAGTACCTCCTATGCATGGAAGTATTATTGACGGCCGCCATCTTTGCCCTCCTCCCTCGGCGTTGTTGTTCCTGTGTTTTCTGCTGGAGATGAATCTCCTCGAAGCTCAAAGCCTCTGGTCCTGCACAACAACAAGAGATTGGTTTCTTTGTCCAGCTGGCCCCAGTCCACCTCTCATGGACAATAACTGCACGGCTTCCTCTAAAAATAAACAATGAAAATAAATAATTCATTCTATAAATGTCTATATCATTGCAGTTCTGGTAAAAGCTCGACTTCATCCGTAGCAGTTTGTTTTTTTAAAGACATATGTTACGTCGCAAATGTAACCTATAATGTAATGATTGTAGTACGACTTGTTGCATAAAGTAACAACGTATCTGACATGAAAGATAAAATGTACTAATTTTTTCCATTTCATTTCATTTTCATTTATGGAAATGACGCTTTTATTCTGAAAGAGTGGCGTCGGAAGTCTTCCGCGGTCGTACACAACACCTTTCTGTTTCCTCGTTCTTCGCGCAGTTTGTTCCTTCAGTGGCTGCTGAGTTCAATTCAATGAAATGGCATTGACTGTGGATGGAAACAAGCTTCTCCTGCGGAGGAAGCGACAGGACGGGGAGGAGAATGACGAAAATGACGATAATGTCGGCGGAAAGAGGGAGAGAAGTGAAGCGGGCCGGTACTGTACTGTGGGGCTGTTACTTTCACTATCCTTATCCTTACATGGCAGCAGTGGCTCACACTCCAGTTTACAGCAGCACGTTGGCTGGTGTCCAACTTCTTTAAAGATGAGAAAATATGGACCTAGTTAGTGGTTAACTTACTTTTAACTGCAATTGGCTCAAATTAAAAAAATGAATCAGTAATTAGCTTCATGTAGTTTGCACCCTAATGATAATTAACAATGTTGCAAAGTTTAGATCAATAGAAAGTTGCAATTCACAGAAGAAATCAATCAAATAGAGGACAGATGTTGGTATTTTATTAATATTTTCTCATGGGTTTCTTACCTAAATATGTGCAGCTGTAAATGATAATATAATGCACTGTGGTCTACAGGCCTTATCTCCAGTAAACTAAAGGGATTTTCACTAGCTGGTAACTCATATTTACTTGGTAATAACTCAACAAAGCATTAGTAACAGTAACAGTCACATACTGTATCATTTTGTTTTTAGATTGGAACCAGAATCCTTCTGTGAATGAAATGTATTTATGTTTGCTGGAAAAATCATCAAAATCTGTCCGGAAATCTAGTCCAAATCTGAATCTGAAAAACTGGATCCTACATTACCCATGAAGCAATTTGATAGCATCTCATCTTATCTAAGTGCATTAATCTGTCAAACTCCACACAGGCTGTAACACAGACTTTCTGTTCTATACGTTTGAAGTCTCCAAGCCTAAACCGAAACTAACCCCGGTGACATCACTGTGACATCATCAGGGTTATTTTCTCACACACAGACTTTATAAAACTGTTCAGATCACAGACAGATTAGTTTTCAAGTAAAAATGTTCAACCTCCCCGTGTGTCACCGTGTACTTTCACCAGGCTGGAGTCTTGCTTGGATCAGCCAGTGGATTCAGACGTCCACGAAATCATAAAGTATACGCCCTCGCCGCTACCAGGTGAGATGACTTTATTACCTGACACCATCTGAGCCTGATGTCTGGGGATCAAACCACAAGAACCTTCTCATGCTCCTGTATACGTGATATCTTATTTCCTCTGCCCTGTCAGCCAAACATTACGACCCCGACACCACCGAACCAATCAGCGGTGGTCTTGAAACATTGGAGGAGCTGTTGTTGTGGAAACGAAGCGAAGCAAACCCTTTTAACGTGGCGGCAGTCCCTCTGGCGCCTCGGGATCCTCCACTGGCCAGCTCCCTGCGTCGGACCTTGGTGTCTCATGACATGATGGGCGGCTACCTAGATGACAAGTAAGGAAGCCTATTTAGAGGTCAATATATATGTTGATGGAATAAATGGGAGAAATCCTTTTCTCCACTTTAAGTTACACCTCAAAATCTACAAATGAACCAAAACCACCAGATCTGTTCTGCAGCTCTGGTGGTTTTCATTTCACGGATGGATTTTTCCCTCATTCTATGTTTAGATTTCTACAGTCGGGTCCATTCTCATTCATTCCTCATGCAGATGACTTGTCCTTCTGCCATTTTTTAAATCCAGCACGTGCAGTTACACCCATGCACCGTAACGCCAATGTCACGCCTGTCTCTCCCGACGTCAAGGTTTGTCCAGGGGACGACTGCAGAGGCTCCGTATGCTTTCTACCACTGGCAGCACATCGATATTTTCAACTACTTCACGCACAGAATGGTGACTGTGCCTCCCGCTGTGTGGACCAATGCTGCACATAAACATGGAGTCGTTGTTCTCGGTGAGTACAGAGGCAAAATAATATACAATAATAACAGTATGTTTACAGTATCGCAATATATCGAATTATAACCGCTGTATCGTGATACGCATGGTATCACCAGATTATTGCCAATACAAAGTCCTAGTCCTTATGTCTGCCCTCAATCTCCGGCTTTCCAGGGACCTTCATCACAGAGTGGACCGATGGAGCCAAGATCTGCGAGGACTTCTTGAAAGACGAGGAGTCGTACCGGAAAGTGGCTGATAAACTAGTCCAGATCAGCCACTGCTATGGCTTCGATGGCTGGCTCATTAACATAGAGAACGCTCTCAGTGTGAGTGATACTTTCATGCTGGCCCTCCCCACTGTAGCACTCATTGCTTAAACCAAGGTTCTGTTCTGTTCTGTTCTGTACTGTTCAGGCTGTTTTTATTGGTTAGTAATTGTTGACAAATAATTAGTAACTGAGAAGATAAATTGAGCACCATCATCAGGTCAAATTCTGATTAGTTTTTTGACTATGCAAATACCTGTATTTATTGATGACTAGCACACAGTAGCATGCTAACACACTAATATATCATTTGCATTTCATTAGTGAATAATCACCTGAAAATAAGAATCTTTGTGTTCCTGTTAGAATGAGCCTTTTTATCTACAAACACCACAGGTCTCCTTCCATGGAGTCCGCCATGTTCCTACAGTAGCCCATAACAGACAAACCAAACACTGGCTCTGGGTAGGACTGTAGTTTCTCTTTCTCCCTTGGAAGGGGAGGGTGAAGCAAGGGAGTTTCAATCTGCAACTACACTACTAGAACCCACTAAATCCACCATACTGGACCTTAAACACGAGTATGTTCCTATATTTAATGGTTTATTATATATTGGTGTCAGTGCTTTTTACCCAGCAGAGTGCGCTGTGATTCACAATACTGTGGCAGGCAGCACAGAGTGAGAGAGAAGAAGCAGCTCTCAGCAATGTCAACTGGAATTTGTTGACAATATATATGTTAAATTCTAACAATTGTGTGTGTGTGTGCTCTCCTTTGCTTGCAGGAGGGCGCAGTGAAGAACACGCCGCTGTTCCTGCGCTATCTGACGGACCAGATGCGCGAGCGAGTGGCCGGCAGCCTGGTCGTGTGGTACGACAGTGTGATCAATAACGGACACCTGCAATGGCAGAATGAGCTCAACCAGTCCAACAGGTAGAGAAACCTCCTTTAAAATAAGCGACAGAGCTCAACATTAGGATTCATTAAAGATCCATTTAATAACCGTGTGTCAGTTCACTACCAACTCAACCCCTCTGACACTTTATCTCAATGTCTCCATAACAGGATGTTTTTCGATGCTTGCGATGGTATCTTCACCAACTACAACTGGACGGAGCAGAACCTGGAGTGGATGAGCAACTACGGCGCGGTCCAAGGACGCCAGGCCGACATCTACATCGGGGTGGACGTGTTCGCCCGAGGCAAGGTGGTGGGAGGAAAGTTGGAAACAAATAAGGTACATAGTGTGGACTGCGTGTGTCACAAGCGTTCAGTCACCATCAGATCACTGACGGTTTGCACTGCTCTTGTTCCGTCTGTCTGCAGGCACTGGAAGTCATTCGGAAGCACAACTTCTCTGCCGCCATCTTTGCTCCGGGCTGGGTGTACGAGACCCACGATGATAAGACCGAATTCCGCAAGAATCAGGACAAGTGAGATCAACACTATTACACGTTCACCCAGTCGGTAGAGGCGGAGATGTTGTTGAACAGAGCCCTGTCCTGTCTGCAGGTTCTGGGCTCTTCTGTCGGACTACCTGTACGTCCATCGGCCAGCGGCCCCTCTCCCCTTCGTCTCCTCCTTCTGCCAGGGCTTTGGGAAGGCTTCCTATTGGAGAGGACAGGTACTGAAGGAGGATCTACTCTCAGAAATTAACCTTCATACTCCGATGCTCTGTTTTCATTGGTGTATAAGCACATGAATAGGGGAAATATTTGTGTTTTCGTTACCTTAGGATAAGACGTTTTGTATGCCACGGGTTGCCTTCCGTGGAGTCCGCCATGTTTCTACATTAGTCCAGAACGGACAAACCAAAAAACACTGGCTGTAGATAGGGGCCAGGACCCAGAATGCACAGTAAATTAGTTCTATAGACAGTCAGCCTACAGCAGATATTTCAGTTTGGTGATTGTGATTCTAGGATGTCTCAGGTGAAACAAAAGCAGCCTGCACCAAAATGTTTTGTGCCAGTGTCAAACAATTAGGACCATATTGTCACAATGTGACTGCTGCCGCACACCCCTGTCTAAAACTGACCGGCCCTAAAGGATTCAGAAAACACTGCAAGCACCATCTTTGAAGCACTTTGGCAATGTATGTAGCTTGTTTATTTATTTGCTACACTTTAAATACATGAGAGAGAGAATATTTATGGTTCTCTGTTCACATTGTAGTGCTGCAGTTGTACCAGCTGTCTCACACAGTGTTCTTCATCTGCCTGAAGTTTGTTTTTGTCACTTTTTATGGAACTTTTTCATCCTTGTTGGCTTAAAATCTGCAGAGGAAGATTGTCTCATACTCATCCTCTTTATTGGTCAACCAGAAAAGTGTGTGGACAGACTACAGTTCATTTAGAAAGAGCAACATTAATCACAGGCTTCCACTAAATTT